CCGCCCCCGCCCCCGCCCGCGCCCCCGGCCCAGGCGGTGGCTTTGTATTATTTTCTGGCTTTCCCCCGCTGGGCCCCTCGCGCACCTGGAACCAGACCCGGTCCCTCGGGGCGCCCTGCCCGGTCGGCCCGGCGGTGGGATCTCACCTTTCGGGTGGCCTGCTGGACCGGGGGCGCCGAGGTCCCAAGCAGCCTCGCCTCCCGCCTCCCGCCTCGCGCTCTCTCTCTCCCTCTCTCTCTCCCCCTCCCTCCCCTCTCCTCCCTCCTCTCCGCCTGGCCCCCTCCCTTCTCCCCCTATCCGCCCCCCAATCATGGACTTCCACGACGACCACGACGAGACTGTCCTCGCCTGGGGCGATGCCGGTGCCCCGGTCCACCACCACCTCTACATGGATGAGGGCGTTGATGGCGCCTTCGACCAGGAGGCCATCCTCCCGACCGACGGCCACCCGACCGACCCGGTGCCCGAGGTGTGTTTCCCTCCTCCCCCCCCGCCGTTTCTCTCTCTCTCTCTCTCTCTCTCTCTCTCCCTCCCTCCCTCCCTCCCTCGCTCTTTCTCGGCGGCTCTCTCCTCACTTTCTGACCGATGGCTCGCTCCTCTTTTTCCTCCCTCCCGCCGGAGCAGCTCCTCGATGACCCCTTCGGCACCATCCCCACCTCCCAGCTCCATACTGGCTCGGACAGCGGGATCCCGACGGTCGAGAGCGCCTCCCCGGTGGCGACTCGGACTCCGGGGTCGCCGACCGGCGCCGAGGCCAGCTCCTCGCGGCTGACCATCAGCTCCTCGGCTTCCGGGGCCGAGGGCCCCATCTCCCCCCTGACCGCCGCCGGTCCTGGCGGAAAGTCCACCTCCATGATGGCCGACTTCGCCACCAGCCCGATCCCCCCGCCCGTGGCCACTGGCGAGTGCACCAACCCGGACCTGGTCATTGTTGTCGACCAGCCTCAGCGCCACGGCGAGGGCATGGACAACTACACCTCCTACCTGGTGACGACCACGGTGCGTCCTTGTGCAGCCTGCTTGCCGCTGCCGGTGGCCCCGGCTTTTGTTCTTGCCTTTTTCCGCCCTCGTTCCATCCCCCTTCCCCCCCCCCCCCCCCCCCCTCCCCGCCCCTCACTGTGTGCGCGCGCTAACCTCGCGCACACAGACCACCATGCGCGAGTTCGCTCGGCAGACCGTGTCCGTTCGCCGGCGCTACGGGGACTTCGTCTGGCTGGCGGCGCGCCTGCGCCATGCGCACCCGACTGCCATCCTCCCCCCCCTGCCGGAGAAGAGCCGGCGCGCCTACCTCGACCGCATGCAGCCGGCCTTTGTCGAGCGCCGCCGGGCGGCCCTGCAGCGCTTTATGAACCGCTGCGCCTCGCACCCTGGCATCTGTACCTCGCAGTGGCTGCGTCTTTTCCTGGAGGCCCCGCGCGCCGTACGTCTCGTCGCTTTCCCTCCTCCGGCTTCTCGTCACAATGCGATCCCCCTCTGCGAGCACTTGCCATCTGCCCGTCCGACAACTCACCAACTTTCTGTGCGCACGCACCTGCCAATCCGCCCGCCCATCTATGTAGGAGCTGGAGACCCGGATTCAAAGCTCTAAGATCCCTAAGGATGACATCTATGATGTGGTTCTCAACGGTACCTCCCCGATCACCCTCCTTCTCCTCCCCCTTCTCCCCCTTCTCCTCTTTCTCCCCCTTCTCCTCTTTCTCCCCCTTCTCCCCTTTCTCCCCCTCCCTCTCCTTCTCTCCCTCCTCTTTCTCCCAGACGCGCCGGCCGCGCACTGATCTCCCTCCGCCCCCCCCCCTTCCCACTTTCTCCCCCTCCCCCCTCCTCCTCACACACACATACATACACACGCACACACATTTTCCCTCTCGTCCCGGACTCTAACCTCCCCAGTCCGTGACATCATCTACGATGTGCTAGCCCTCTCAAAGACCGAGAACCCCGACCCCCGGTTCGTGCCCCACCACGAGTACCTTGCCGACCTGCAGCAGGCCCTCAGCAACCTGGAGAAGCTGTATTCCCGTCTGCAGAAGAAGCATCTGGACCTGGCGGCCGACCACTACGACTTCGGCTCCATCCTGACCCTGATGGCCGAGGAGGAGCGTGATGCTCCGCGCCCGGCCGGGGCCGACCTCGCTCCCGGCTCCTCGTCGTCCGGCCACCAGGACAACACCCTCAGCTCCTTCTCGGCTGGGGCCGAGCCTCGTGAGCCTGGGACCTACTCGATCGGCAGCTTCCCGCCGGCTTCCGGCCCTGTGGCCGCCGCGGTTTTCCGCACCATGGCCGCGGCCGAGGAGGCCTTCTCCATCGTGCAGAAGGACTTTGTGGAGTATGTCGAGCGGAACTTCATCGAGCAGATCCACGACTACATGCTTTACTGCTACACCATTCGCGATGTGCTGAAGTCCCGCGAGCAGCGCCAGATCGATATGGAGGAGCTGGCCGAAATCTCCCAGGAGCTGGCCGACAAGTATGAGGAGCTCAAGAACCCGGATGCCCCGGCCAGCACCTCCAGCTGGCTTTCTTCCCTCTCGTGCGTTCCCCCCTCCCCCCCCATACCATGTGTGATGTTCGCCAGACCCCCTGCCCCTGGCCATTCCCGGCTCCCTTCCCCGTGTGCGGCCACTGACATGCTCTTCCGATGTGGCCCCCCGCTTGTGCCAGTGGCGAGAGCAAGGAGACTCGTGCCACCAAGATCGGAGAAAAGCTCTCCCAGGTGCGTCTCTTCCCCCTGCATGCTCCTTTTCCATGCCGGCCATCCACGGCTCAGCTCTCCTTGCCCTGGGTGCCCGCTCGACTGACACATCCACACTGGCGCACGTGCACCCGCGCGTACCCCGCGCCCGCCCACAGGTCCAGCAGGAGGCGCAGACTGCCTCGGAGATCCACTCGCAGTTTGCGCAGCTGGCTCTGGTGGAGCTCGAGCAAATCGGCCTCCAGCGTAGCCAGGATTTCACTGCCCTCCTGCGCAACTATGTCCAGGCCCAGGTTTCGCTCCTGCGCTCTGGTCGCTCGATCTATGCCACGGCCCTGGAGAAGATCAAGGCCTACACCTCGGGCGACCTGCCCGCCGAGTGAGCGACCCCGTCTCCGCCCTTCCCCCCCCCTCCCCATCCCTCTGATCTTTCCCATTTCCACCTTTTGCTGCTGGCGGATCTCCGGTGTGTTCCTGTCTTTCAGCCTGGCCGACCCCGACATCCCCGCTCCCCCCCCCCCCCCCCCCGCTCCCGATGTGCTCCTCTTTCCCTCGATACACCCTTTCCTTTTTTCTTCTTCCTTTTTGGGCGTGCCAGTGTCCTTTTCCGGCCATTTATTCTTGTTCTTGTGGCGGGCTCTCTGCGTGGGAATGAGAAGCCGTGTGGATGTGTGGATGTGCAGCCTTTCGTGCACATCCAGACATCTGCATGCGCACCACTGGTCGGGGGGGGGGGGGGGGGGGGGTAGCAGATTGCAGGGGGGTGGGGGCGGAGGGGGGGGGTGCCTGGGGGAGAGAGGGGGGGAGGGGGGGGGGGGGGGGCGGTATGAGCTTCTCAGGGAAGGGAGCGAGCACGGAAGTGCTCCTGCGAGCGAAGGGGCGGAAAGGGCGGGAGGGAATGGCGAAGCAGGCAAACACGTCCGGGATCTGGGGCTGTGTCGCGGCAGGCCGGTCAGACACCGGACCACGCACATGCTCCTGGCAAGTCTCGCGGAACCGGCTCCTTGCCCTGCCCTTCTCCCCGCCGTGCCGTGTGGCACTTGTCTGCTTCCTCGCCGTGACAGCTCTCCGTGATTCAGCTCACCCTCATGAATGCCTCCCTGTGACCCTGTCACACAATGTGGGCACGTGTCGGTCTTATTTTTTGCAATGGAGGGGAAAACCCAACTACAGAGCAGAGCAGAGCAGGGCAGGGCAGAGAGGAACGGCGGCCGGAAGGAGTGTTTCTCCATGAAACAGCCGCCCCACATCTCCGGACCCGTGCTGCTTCCTGTGCTCCCGTCCCCTGCCCCCCCCCCCTTGACCAGTTCTCTCTCGTAACACCGCCGACACAAACGTGGCCTGCGCTTTCCTGGTGGTATTCCGCAAGTGCACATGGCGGCGCATGGGAGGGGAGGAGGGGGAGTGGGGGGAGGAGGGATGGGGCGAGGGGGGGCGGGGGCGTGCCGGGGGACGGAGAGGCTGCTTACCGTCCGAGCAGGCCCTCGTCGCCACGTTCGATGTGCACCACATAGGCATGGTCCTTGGGGAAGACCACGGTGTCACCATCCCGGAGCTCCAGGCGGTCGTCTCGGACAAGTACAAAGATAGCCGTCTGAGGTGGCGAGGGCTCGCGCACGGTCCACGACTGGGACAGCTGCCCCTGGCCGGTGACCGAGGAAAACTCCACCGGCGCGGGGTCCGGCGCGCCGCCCCACCACCACCAGTGTGCCGCGGCCGAGGCATTCGAGGGCGAGCTGAGGTCCGGCATGCCGATGGGGGGGCCGCCGTTTTGCCCGGCGGCCGCCACCTGGGCCGCAGCCGACTTGGCCCCGGCCACCACCGCGCTGCCCAGCATCCCGGCCGGGTTGGATGTCAACTGCGAATATGACCGCGGGTTGACCAGGGAGCTGCTGGAAGGCAATGACCGGTACACCTTGGTCGGGTTGGAGCCGAACAGGCGCAGGGTGACCTTTCGCCGGGGGAAGGACTCGAGCACAATCTCGGCTGACAGGGGGGGGGGGGGGGGGGGGGGGGGGGGGGGGGGGGGGGGGGGGGGGGGGGGGGGGGGGGGGATCCCATCCTGCGAGTGGTGGCGGCGGCCGAAGCCCCAAGAACGTACCATGCTTTCTGGAGCAGTGGATGTCATTGATCCAGAGGGCACAAATGTGGTGGTCACGCCCGCAAAAGAGCGAGCCTCCCTCCGACGGCAGGGTGACCATGTGCCGGGAGGCCTCGCCGTCGCTGCGCTGGGCATCGGCGTCGATGAGGGTGCTGGCGGCCCCGCCGGCGGTGCTGGAAATGGCCCCCGCCGGAGCGCCGGTCACCCCGGCCGCCGCGCCCGCAATCCCCGATGACCCGGGAGACGGCTGGACATACGGCGTGTTGAAGGCCAGTGGCAAGACCAAGCTGGCGTGCAGCTTGCCGGGATGCCCGAAAGGGCGCTGAATGCCGCCCCCGCGGGCGGTCAAATGCACCCCGCGCCGTAGACCCCCGGCCGGGAGGCTCCCAGCGGTGACGACGGTGGCGGCCGCCGTCGCGGCGGCGCCCGGCGAGGAAAGGACCCCGGGCCCGAGGCCCGACGTGTGGGCCGGCGGCGAGCCGCTTGAATCGACGAAGGCCAGCGGGATGGCGGCCGCTTGGTGGTAGGGGCCGCCGGGGCCGCTGCCGGACCCTCGAGAGCCGGCACTGGCCTCGGCCAGCAGGGACATGGTGGCCGGGTCCAGCGGCACCGGGTTCCCCGGCGGATACCACCACCACCACTGGCTGTCGGTGCCCGGGTGGAATGGCCCGTGGCCGGTGGCCCCGCCGGGGTCCTGGCCCGGCTGCTGGCGGGCGCCCCCCTCGACCCCGAGCTGGGTGGCCACCGCCGGGAGCAGCATCTCCTCGGCATTGGCCGCGGGCCAGAGCCCGGCGCCGGGGGCCGAAGCGGGCCCCCCCCCCGTGGTCGGGCGGGCGAAGTCCCCGGGCCCGGTGCCGGCGCCGGCCGCCGACACCGGCATCTCGAACTTCCCCTCGGCCAGGGGCGCCGGCATGCCGGTCGGCATGGTGTCCGTCAGGCGATCATTGGAGGAGCGGGCATCCTGATCGCTGGCCTCCCTTCCCTGGTCCTCCTGCGGGTAGAAGCCCTGCGAGTCGGGGCCGCCTGCCGGCCGGCGCATGTCCTCCTCCGAAGCGGAGTAGGGGAGGGTGGCCATGCCGGCCAGCTGATGGTGCGCGGCCGGCACCGTGGCCAGCAGGTCATCCTGCTCCGGGCCATCGAGCATGTCCACCTCTCGGGACCCCTCGGCTCCCCCTTGGCTGGGGGTGGCCGTGGCCATGGGGGCTGCTGAGTCATCGGCGGCCGGCAGGGCGTGCAGGTCGCCGGAGCTGCCCTCTTCCTGGCGCTCGGAGGCTGCCCCATCGGCCAGGGCATCCATCGAGTGGTCGGTCGAGTGCATCCGGTGCGCGGCCAGCAGGCGGCTGTCGGAGTGGTCATCATTGGCGGTCAGCTGCGACAGGGAGGACTCGGACTTGGGCCCGGCGCCGGCGCTGTCGTCGGACTGCTCGCCGGCCGCCGGGGGGGCGCCCCCGCGGGCAGCCGGCCGGGAGCCCGGCTTCGGCGACTCATGCACCCGAATGCAGGCCCCTTGGCCAGCCTGGCACATGGGCCCCCCGGTGGTGGCGCCTGCCGGGGGCGAAGCGTCCACCGGCCCGGGAGGGCGCTGTTGGTCGGGCACCAGGCCGGCTGACTGGTCTGGCCCGGCGGCGGCGGCGGCGGCGGCGGCGGCGGTCTCGGCCGGAGCATGCGGCCCGGTCTCGGCCGCGGCCAACGCGGGCGAGCTCCCCGCCCCCGGGGAAAAGGCCTGCACAGCCCCATACGGCGACGACTTGCTGAGCACACATCGCCTCAGGTACGTGTGCAGCGGATGGGAGATGGTCGGCACGGAGGTGGCGCACGGGGGCGGCGGGCCCGGCAGTGGGAAGGGAGCTGTTGAGTAGCCTCCAACAGGCGGCGACTGGTAGGGCAGCATGGTATTCCGGCGGCGGGTGCACGCGGCGATGCACTTGCACAGGGGGATGGGCTTTGGACGAGGGGCTGCGGAGCAGCTTTCAAGAAGCCTGTGCCAGACGGACGGCCCAATCGAGTGAGCAGGGCGAAGTTGAGGGGAGGGGAGGGGAGGGGAGGGGA